TATCAGAGCCATGTAATAATTTTTTCCCGCAATAAGTCAATTTTTGAAGAGCATTAGCTTTCTTCCACAGCAGTATTGCCATCTTTTATCATGAGTTTAGATCTACTTTAAATTTATTTTTGCATATCCACAAGGCAGCTTCGATAAATTGATTTCATATTTGTTAATCGTTGGATCATGCTGAAATTTAGTCAGCGGGTAAAGAAAATCCAACACGTTATTTTGAAAGGTTAGATTGTTGATTAGTTCCCTGGTGTGAGTGCTATGCCATTAACACTATAGTCTCTGGTTTGAGTATTTTTAATCCTTCATTCTCTTTCGTAAGCATTTCTTCCCCTTAAAAAAAATAAAAAATTTAGATGTTGCTCAATCTATATTAGTTACTTTGAATGGTTTCAACTGCCATTTTTTGTTAAAAAAGTGTGATCTTGCTCAGCTTACTTTAAGATCCTCTCATATTAAACTTAAAACTTTGTTGCACACATTCATCTCTAGTTCCTCTAGTACATCTGCTACCTTATCTACTCTCACCAATAAATCCACTTGATATTTTGACTCTATTTATTGTAATCATATGACAAGTTAAGAAAATTTATTCTCCTCTATGACACCTACCTCTACTGCCTATGCTATACACACTGTTGATAATTCTCAAATGCCTGTTAGTTATATTGGTATTGTCTCCTTGCCTTCCTTATCCATTCATGATACATATTTTGTTCTTACCATTAACTTTAACCTTCTTTTGGTTGGATAACTTGTTGATATGGGTTATGGCATGTTATTTAATAAATGTGGTTGTGTTGTGATGGATTCTTAGAGAAGACAAGTTGTCAGGTCCAGGCACAAAGTTGGTCATATGTTTGAGCTCATCTCAATACACTTACATAAGATCACCGTTTCCACATTGTGTGTTGCCTCCACATCCTCTTCTCCTAATTCTTTTCTCGACCTATGACATCGTCTTCTTGCTCACCCTTCTTTAAGTAAATTGCATCATTTAACTTCTAATGGTCTTTTAGGTCATGTTCATAGCCATTCTTTATAATGCATTTCTTGTTAGACTGCCAAACAACTCGCTTTGTCTTTTCATAAAAATGATTTATTGCTACTTCTTCATTTGATTTGATTCATTCTAATGTCTAGGGCCCTGCACCTACTCCCTCTATGGGAGGTGTAAGGTCTCCCTTACTTAACCACATAATGCTCTATGATCAAGGTAATCAAAGGATTAACCCTTAAAAGATTAACTAAGTTTGTAAAATCATATTAAAAAAATTTCTCAAAACTTTTACAATGAAATGCCAAATTTAACATTTCAAATCTCAAACAATATTTAATAAGCTCAAATTAGAGTCTTGAAAGCTTGGAAATCAATTAGGACCCAAATTTATAAGTTTTAAAACTTGAAACTAATATTTGTGCAGAAAACAACATGTGGGCCATGGCTCGTGACATGTGTGTTGTGGCTTGTCTTTTCTGTGCCAAGCGCCTCAACGCATTGCATGAATTTGATAACATCAGTACTGTCATTTAACAGTACAAGGAGTGAACTTTTGAAGAGTCTTAAATCTCTATCCGATGTCCGATTGAGGTGATTTCATTGTCTATACGGAGCCTTCTTCTAGTTCTAGTTAGTGGCATTGGTTTCACACTCAAATTCTTTTTCTATAAAAAGTTAGACACCATAATCCATTTTAACCACTTTTTCATAAAATTTCTCAAATGGGTGTCCCAACTCAACCACACATGCTAAATAACTCACACCGACCATCCGGCCACACTCAATAGACTCTAATGAACTCATGCAACACACCATACACAATCAGAAACATGTTTATCATAAAATCACTACTTAACTCTGATTTTCTCAAAACACAAAGGGCGAGCAAAAGTTGCACAAATACATTAATTTCATCCTAAATCTTTTAAAATATATATGTCTCTTCTTGTACAAGTATTTTGACCCTATCCATAAATTTACAACTAAAATTCACTAATCCAGGGCATAAATTACATAAGTTATACACAAAATCACGCAAGTAGTACATAAATCATGTCAAATGATCCTAGTTGGTAATTATATTAATAAATACACATGAAAACAACAAAAAGAGGCATAAAGATGATTACTCCACAATCTTAGGCCTCTGCGTGTTTCCTCCAACTCAGATCCAATGAGCTAGGTCTTGAAAATATTGAGAATTGAAGGCTGAGTACAACCACTCAGTAATCAAGTTTCATCTAACCTATACAGTTGCATATCAATTATAAGTAGATGCAATTAGGCAAATACACAAATATCACATATAAACACTTGGCCACGATTCACAAAACTAACAACCATGTGACCGAGCTCAAAATGCACAATATCATGATATTTCATAAAGTATAACATAAGGTCACAATAATAACAACCATGTGCACCTAACACGTCCCGGACCACAAAACTAACAACCATATAGTTAGTCTTATATGCATGATCATATGCCAACCTCATACCTTCTTGTTACTTCTGACATGAAACTAGTGGCTACGTCCCTCATGAACTAACCCAACCTACCACTTATGAGGAGCTATCGAGCCAAGGTGAACTCGCTCATTTATGTAATCTGGTTTTCTCTAATACTAATAACTATAAGGTATCATATCCCTAATCTAGCCTCTTCATGAATCGGTGGAGACTAGTTAGTCCGAGTTCCTCGTAGACCAAGTAGAACAATCTTGAATCAATCATGAGATAAGGACTACCTCCTGATTTCAACGGTCGGTGCTGAGACAAGTTCCTGATTCTAATGGTCACTGCCAGTACTGCATGGATTTAAACCAATCTACTCCTCCTCTTAGGTGAACTCTTACAAATGATTATGCTATACACATTTCTTATATAATATGCATTTTAAATAATCAATTTATAGCACATAAACTTATACATGCTCAAATACTCTAAAAACTCAACATATTTCTCATTATAATTATCCACCCACCATAACAAACTAAAATCAAGTTCACACATCACAAAGGTGGCATAATCGAGGTTTTCCTTTCCAAAACTATTTTACAATTCAAACACATTGCCAGTATGCATCATTAACTTAAATTATAAATCACATTTCACAAACACAATTAACATTCAACTATAAAAGTTAGATTTCCTAATGTTATTTCAAACCTTTAAGAGGTCAAATGTTTACCCCTCACAATATCAACTTTCAAAGCTTCAACAAACTTAAATGGTGATAAAATGAACCACACTATAATTATAGCACAAGATTATCATCATCGTCTCAATCTTAAGAATTTATCAACACATAATTCCACACACACTATTCTATCAACCCAAAATTCCTTACCCATTTATACCAAATGGGCTCTTTAGGTTTCATTAATGTACATTATCATTAATAACACTTTAAACCACCATTAATGAACACAAACTTCTCCCAACTACTACATTTATGTGGATTTTTGGATATTAAATGCTCTACTCAACAAACTCTTAATAAAACTATCAATGTAGAATTTTTATGCCTTAAATAACTCCCATTATATTTATTTTAACTAATAAGATAAGACTTATTATCTTATAGACAGAATTTTAACTTTTCAACCCAAACACTATCATAAATCATCATAAATGAGGGAGAGAAAGGAAGAAGAAGGCTTAGATTACATAGCTTGGTGTTTAGGAGCTTTAATCTATCACCAATATGCTCCAACAACAAACCTTAATAGAGTCAAAGTCATGCTATTTGATTTTTCCTTCCTCTTTTCTATTTTTCTCGCGTTGATACAAATTTGATATATCAAATTTTTGGCCATGTACCACAGCACATGCTGCCGTCCATTGTAGCTCATGGCACAAAGGAGTATCTTACATTCAAATCTGCCTCTGCACGCCATGGCGAACTGACCTCTCACTGTGACATGTGACATGTAACATCCTGATTTTTATATAATAAAGAAATTGTGGAATTTAGGTTTTGAGGAAAAAAATGATAATAATAGGAATTTATATTATTTGAGGTTATTTAGAAATGATATTATGGTTAGGTATTTAATTATAAATTTAAAAATTTAAATTTAAAATCACATAAGCAATATTTAGTTAAGATATAATACATAAATAATTTTTTATTGTGTGTTAAAAAAAAGAGAAGGTAGAAGGAACAAAAAAAAGGGGGGTGGAAGGTTGTTGTTTCTAAGTCCCACATTGGTTAGATGAGGGAAGAGAAGAGGTGCCTTCATGTATAAAAAGGAGGGGGTGTGTGCATTAGGAAGCATGAGAGGCTAAGATGCAATTTAGAGGAAATTGCAACTTTTGGCCCAAAGGTTTGAATAATTAAATTCGAACCTATAGTTTTTTTTAATATAATTTTGGGACCACAATTCCATTTTTATATTATTTTTCTCTCTTCCTCTCACGTTGCTCGACGTTTTTCTTACAAGGGGGGATTATTTTCTTTTTCTTCATGTATGTTCTAACTTTCCTGTTTAGATTAGCATTTAAAAATTTATTTAATTACAAAATTAATTTTATAGTTATTTTCTAAATAATATTAGCTTTCTAGTGATATGATTATTTTATAGGATAGAGTAAATATTCTGATTAGGATTTTTTTTTCTATAGGATAGTTAATCTGATGATATGATGGATTAAAAATATAAGTTAAAACTCTTAGGGATATAATAAATATTATAGAATACTTTCTTGAGGTTAAAACTCATGTTTAATAATTTTTGAGTTAAAATCTAGATCTATATGGTTGAATTTATGTGGAATCTGAGATGTAGGGATAAACCTCTGATTATTAAATATTTATATAAGTATGAATAGGTATTTTTGAGGTTATAGAAAGGTGATTTGAGGTTTCAGATAATTTTAAAATTTTTAATTTATTTTTGGACAATTTTTAGAATATAGAAGGATAAAATTGTGATACTAGAAGTGATTTGAGGATAAAAAAAATAGTTTATTAGGGTACGAGAATTTTAGAAAAAGAATTTGAGAAGTTAAATGAGGCATAAATCTTGAATTAGTATTAATATGGATTATAGATCTAAGACTTTCTAATTCTTTAAATTAGAGTTATTTATTTTAATGTAAAATTAATATATAGTATTGTGAAATAATTATGTAGATTATATTGACAAAGATAGTGGTGAAAAAGGAGTTGTGAAGGGGAACTTGTTATTCAAGACACAAGGTAACCATTATTAATGTGTTGTGATGAGTGTGTTTGTGAATGGTTATGTGTTGACTTGTTGTTTGGAAAAACTATGAATTATTAAAAATAAATACTGTTATATACTTGTTTGAAATTATTGCCAAGTGGGTTAAAAAATTTATTTTTGTTTATCATGATGAGATATTATTGTTCGGATATATTCTTGTTTGGATATTTGAATTATGCATGACTTGTCAGGGTATTTGATGTATGGTGTTAATGGGAATTTCTGTTCGGTTAATTATTACCACGTGGTAAGCCCTCATTGGACCCAATGAGTGGCGTGTCGCTTGGTCCAACTCACCTTTGACCGGGTGATTTGGCGTCCGAGCATGGTGAAAGGAGGATATAAGGTGCAGTCATGCAAATTAAATACTTGTTCGGTTTGTTTGAAAATATTGTTCGGTTAAATGTTTTGTGTGCCCACTTAGCAATCGCATGATTAGTTACAATCGCATGCATCATTACATATTAATTTTTGGTTACTGGGACTTTTAAGTCTCATTCCCCGTGGTTAATATTTTTACAGGAGCGAGTCCGGCCGAGAAAGCACCAGAGGTGTAACTATGGTGTATGAAACACCATCTTTTACGTTGCCTCTCATTTTGTATTATGCAATGTATCTTGTGCCAACCTAGGACATTTCTTATTTTGACAACATGTAAACTCTAATCCTTTTTATTAAATACAATTATATGACCAAGAGGATTATGTTTGTCCCTCTTGATTCATGACCTGATTTAAATATCATGCCATGAGGATCATGTCTGTCCTTCATGGTTCTAATTATTTTTTTGAGATATTTTAAGACCTGTGGTATATTGTCTTGGATGTATCATGGTAGAAATTTTTCTACCATGATAAGAGTATGATAAGGGTTCAATGAAAAAAAATGATTTGTTGAATTAATAATTTGTGAAAAATCGGTTTGTAAATTTTGAGGGTGTTACATGACACAGAGAGCACATCTTTACTTTTTATTCCTCTTTCCCTGCCCAAGTAGCCAGCCATCAATTTAGACTCACTTTTAGGGTTAAAATCACCATAATTATTATATCAATTAGACCCCTCTAGTTACATGCCTTATTAACTCACTAATTAAAATAATTGGGTTGATTAATTACAGTTAATTTTCTCGTATGTTACAAGAGGATCTCGATATTTTATAATTTTTATTGATAATTTTTATCATTTTACTTGGATTTATATGATGAAATATCGATTTGAGTTACCTGAACTTTACATCAAATTTGCTACTATGGTTTACACTCAGTATTCTAAAGTCATCAAAAAATTTTGTCGTGATAATGCTTTAGAATATTATGACTCTAAATTACTTACCTTTCTTGATTCTTAAGGTACTATTTCTCAATATTCTTGATTCTGTTAGAGCATTACTCATTTCCTCTTCTTGTCCTTTTGGGGGTGAAGCAGCCTTAGCCTCTATCTTTTGTAGCAATTGACTCGTGTCTCCTATCATTGATAACATTTTCCCTTTTAAGCATCTCTATGGTTATCCTCCCAATTATAGTTTTTTAAAAGTCTTTGCTTGTGCCTGTCTTGTTCTTCTTCCATCTCATGAGACAAACAAACTTCAAGCTCATTCTCGTATTTGTTATTTTCTTAGTTATGATTTTGAGCATAAGGGTTATCATTGTTAGGTCCTCTCTCTTATCATACTTGTATTTCTTAGCATGTTGTCTTTTGGAAAAATATCAAGTTTTCATCTCTAACTGATTTATCATCGTTCTCATCTTCTTTATCTCTTATTTTTATAGATATTCCTACTAATCTTTTTCCTAATGATTTGAGTACAGGACATTGCACTCGCTCCAGATGTGCCTACTATTATACCTATTGCTCCTCCATTACAAGTCATGCTTATTGAGCCCATATCATCCATAAACTCTCGACCTAATCGTGTAAGAAAGTTTCCCTTTTACCTCAATGATTACCATTGTTTTTTCACCATTCTCTAGTTTTAGGAACCTAAATCCTTTAAGGAAGCCTCTCGTGATCCCTTTTAGCAGCAAGCTATGGATGATGAATTGCAAGCCATAGAGAAAATGCATACTTGGATCTTATTGATCTTTCTCCTTTGGTTAGGTACTGACAGGTCTACAAAAACAATACTCATTTTGATGGCTCTTTGAAGCAATGTAAAGCCCACTTGGTGGCCCAAGGATTCACTCAGGAGTATGGTGCTGACTATAAGGAAACTTTTACACCTGTTGGCTATGTGACTTCTGTTCGTAGCTTTCTAGCCATTGCTGCTATTAAGCACTGGCCTCTTTACCAAATTGATGTTAAAAATGCCTTTTTAAATTGAGATTTAGAAGAAGAAGTGTATATGAAGCCTCCATCCAGGTATCAACATTTAAAAGACAAGGTTTGTCATCTTCGTCGAGCTCTATATGAGCTCAAGCTGGCTCCACATGCATAGTTTGCTAAGTTTAGTAACGCTATAAATCAATTGGATTTTTCTTGTAGTCCTCACAACTCGGCTTTTTTTGTTTGCTCCATTACTTATGGTATTGTTTGTTGGATAATCCCAACTGTTACTATCAACTGGTTGGGGGCCTCATCTATCTTGTTGTCACCCATCTTGATATTGCTTATGCAGTTCATGTTGTCAGCCAGTTTATGTTTGAGCCTCACACAACTCATTATGTAGCAATTCTTTGAATCATTTGGTCTATCAAAGGTACTCTGTATCATGGGCTTCACTTCTCTGCTAGCTCCTTTCTTATGCTATGAGCTTACTTTGATGCTGATTGGGGTGGTGATTATGATGATCGACGATCTACGACAGGTTTTTGTATCTTCTTCGATCATTCCCTTATTTCTTAGAGAAGTAAGAAGCAGACATTAACCTCTCGCTCCAATGCTGAATTAGAATATTGTGTACTAGCAAACACTACAGCTGAGGTACTTTGGCTTCATTGGTTACTTGATGAGTTGGGAGCATCTTAGAGCTCATCCACAAATATTTATTTTGATAGTCAAGCTACAATCAAGATTGCTCACAATGACGTGTTTAATGAGTGAATCAAACATATTGAGATTGACTATCACTTTACTTGGTAGCATGTTATTCAGGGCACCATCCGACTTATTTCAATTTGAACCAAGTATCAGAGTGGACTTATTTATAAAGTCTTTTCATTCAGATTGCTTTCAGTTTTTGGTAGACAAACTTAATTGCTTTCTGTTAAGCCATCTTGAGTTTGGAGGGGGATGTTATCTAGAATATTATCCAAACATCTTCTATTGTATTGTGTATATATCTCAATTATTATTAGGAGATATTATTTGATATTATTATATTGTTATTAATCATCATTGTATTATCTATTTATTATATTATCTATTTTCTTTGCGTACATAATGTAACATTCATCTCAATAATAGATACAACATTTTTTAATCATTTTTAGTTTCTTTCTCTTATCTCTGATAGCTTTCAAAGTCGATTCAAAGAGGAGGAGGAAGAACAAAGGATCAAGAAAAGAAAGAGATGTTGTTAATAGTTTGAAAGCCACCATATCACAATGGGCACTTAAATTTGGAGAGAAGAGGGAGGATTTGATAAGGACATTTTACTCAATTTGAAGCTTTAAATTAACTAGATTTTAATTCCTATGCGACGCATGGGATAAGTAAAATTTAAAAAAAATAAAATAAAGTAAACATCAATTAAATTTTTTAAAATAGTGAGATTTAATATGTAATTCTTTTCAAGTTGTACTCTTCATCTCTCTTCTATTCTTTTTTGAAAAAAATAACACATCAAACCTTATGTTTTTAAAATAATGATGGACGTTTGGCTTAATTTAATGGTGAGATGAAATTATTACAAATATAATTGTTTAAGATTTAGAATATATAAAATATGAGTATAGGGTTCACATCGCCCCTAAGCACATAGTTCAAGGTTCAAATTATATATCAATCCTATTAATAACCATTCTTTATAATTTATTATACTCTATGATATGCTATATTTTAAAATTTATTATCCCTTGGATATAAAAAATATAAAAAAACTTGTTTTATTTTAGAAAATGTTATCCTAGCTCATATTGAAAATAAAAATGTCATCTTATTATTATTATTTGTTGGTTACCAAATGTCATCGTATTTTATTTCATAAACTGGATTAGAATATAGACAACTTATTTTGATATTATTTATTTAATAAATTTTTATCTGGTACATATTAGAAATTTAAACAATATATTTTGCTACAGAATTTATTACCATATACACCATGTGTAATTATAAATCCTTCAAAAACAATACTAGCTAATTTTTATTAAATTTAATAACTAATTTTAAAATAATATAAATGAAAACTTATTGAATTTTATAATTCATTACTCTCGTTAAAATTAAAAATTTTAATAATATATTTTATCTCAGAATTTATTTCCTCTGTACTTTGTGTATTACAAGTTATTTAAAAGTAAACAAATAAAAAAATTTTGATATCATAAACTTTTGACTTTATGGCTTATTTTATTTGGAAATCTATTACCTCGTATATATTTGGATTATAAAAAAAATTTTATTTTAAAAATTTTTAATTCAAATAGATCTTAAAAATATAACGTTAATTATACAATTTTAATCTTAAAAATGATGAATGAATAGTAGAGATGAATTTAGAGACATATTTAAATGTCTCTAGTGTATTTATCTATAAATCTGTGTCTAATTTAAACAAATCTCATATAAAGTATATGAAAATAATTAAAGATGGACTTAGAGACTTTCTTTTAAAATTTTTGTGATGGATTATAACTCATCTTTAAAATGTTATCTATTATGTATATAGAGGAGGATTGACAGACAAATTTATATGTATATTTTTAATAATTAGACAGAGATAATATTTAAATTTTGATTAGATAATTTAATAACCATAGTTTTGGCTTAGATAATTCAATCCCTTATGTTTAGGGATTTCTTTTAAATTTAGATTAGATTAGATTAGATTATGAATTGGTTTTTTAGAAAATTCAAGGTTTTTTCTTTTAATCCAACTTTTTCACTAAATAAGACTAAGTTAAATAAATGAAATATTATATTGTATATAAATCATTTTAATTGTGCTTAATCATTTGATATCTAAAATAAAGAATAAAATGAGTTTCTTAATATTTATCTTCAAGTGACCTAAGTTGTGTTTTTTAGAGTATTTTAGTCCAATTAATTCTTTTAATTAATTTTTAGTTGTAGGAAAAATACACACACATGATAGTGAATAGTTTACGTCTAGAATTAGAAATCTTTTATTCAATCCATTTCCATAATATTGATTTAATAAAAAAAATAAATAAAATCCTCACTGCACAAAAGTATTAAAAAATAATAAAGCGCCTTTCATTCTTCTCGTTCACATTCGCCAACCAATCCCAAAATCCCTGATTCCTTCTCTCTCACCCCACGGCATTTCTTTCTACTCTTTTTCAATTTATTGATTCCTTTTGCAATTAATATTTTGTTGTATTATTTGGTTCCTGATCTTATTTGGGATGTGTAATGTGTTCATCCGTTTTGTTTTTTATTTTCATTCTTGATTGTTTAACATTTTTTTTATGTTTTGGTTCTGATTTCGTGCTATGATTCTGATTCTGATAACTATATTTAATCATTATATATAATTTTTTTTCTTTAAATTCAATTTAAATTTGACCTTGTTTGCTGTTTTTTTTACCTGATTTCTTCTATTCATTTTTCTTAGTTTATTTGCTGGTAGAGGAATGAATTTTATTTTAGTTGTTGTTTTATTTCTGGAATGATCTTCAAGGGTAATTGGGGAAATATGCTGTTCAAAAACTGTAGGTATACAGTAACAGCTGATGCGCTTTACAAAATAAGTGGATAGAGAGACAAATATTACTAAAGGACCTCAATTTGTAATCTAGCCCAATTTCTTTTTGGCGAGATGAGATCTAGTCTTTTTTTTTATGGCAATTTTCTTTGGGCTGAAAGAGAAACTTTGGGCTAGGGTTTTTGCAATACTTGAAATCTGAAGTGGAGGAGAAGGGCGGAAAGTTGAAAGATTCAGCTTGAAAGATTTCAAAACCCTATAACGTTTGCAACTTTGCCTCCCTCTCTTCCCTTGGCTTCATTATTCCCGAAGCGCTTCGTCTTCGTCTGTTGGCTCCGTCGTTATGGCTCCAAAGCGGCTTCTGGAAGACCCTCCTCCTGCTTCTTCTTCAGAAGAGGAAGAAACCGAGGACGACGCTGCCGAAGAGGACGAAGAAAACGGTGATTCCGAAGGACTGGAAGACGAACAGGATGAAGACAACCATCAGAAGAAGAATCCCAAGGCTAACGCCACCCCCGTCGCCAAATCTGTAAAAACTCCACAAGATCAATCTTCGTCAGATTCCGGCGATGAATCCGGGTCGGAAACCGAGTCCGACGACTCGCAGCCCTCGCCATCAGCTTCTGCCTTCACCATCAAACCTATTGCAACTAAACCAATGAAAGAACGTGTACAGCCACAGAAAAATTCAGCAAACCGTAAGGTGACCATGTCACCAGCGAAGGCTGTCACCGGCGGCATGAAGCGCTCCAGGGAGAGCGATGACATTGAAAGGAAAGAGTCAAAGAAGAGCAAGTCATCTGATGGTCAAGATGAAGATTTGAAAAGGGGACCAGGTGTTCAACGCCTTTGGAGTGAAGACGACGAGGTTGCAGTTTTGAAGGGCATGATCGAGTATCAATCCGAGAAAGGGGCTGACCCGTGGGCTGATATGGAGGCTTTTCATGGATTTATCAAGGAAAATCTTCGCGTTGATGTGTCTAAGGACCAATTAAGGAGCAAAATCAAGAGGTTGAAGCAGAAATACCAAAGCAATGCAGAAAAGGGTAAAAATGGTGAAGCCCCTGTTCTCGGCAAGCCACATGATTACAAGCTTTTCGATCTATCCAAGAAAGTTTGGGGAGCTTCCGTCACAAATGGGGTGGATGATAGTGCTAAGAAAAAGCGAAAGCCAAGTCAGAGCGAATCCAAGAGTCCTGCTTCAGCACTACCAAATGATGAGATTATTGCTGAAGCAGAAAACCCTAATTCGACATTCTTTGATGCATTACTGGGATCGGGGAAGCTTTTGTCAGTACCGGAGGGTGCTGCCAACATTATGAAGGAAGCTCTGCCTTTGATAGGGAGTGCGAGGACCAAGGAATTGGAGAACAAGTGGAGGAAGTTGCAGGAAGATGAATGCAAATTGTACTTGAAGAAGGTCGAGTTGATTCGTGACTCTGCTAAACTGATGTTAGAAGCGATGAAATCGTCGATGTCTTAGTGTTCTAGTCATGGTAAGGTAAATCATATCGTTATATGAAATACATTTTTGCCGTCGGAGGACTTTTACGGGAAAATATGATGTGAGTTTTAATCAATCTCATGGGGATTTTTCCCTCTTCCAATCTATTTTTGATGTACGTTGATCAAATGAATATCATATTTAAATGTTTGGAATTGCCATGAACATCTTTAAAATGGCTCGACACACTGGTTATGACTTGTTTGATTCATGAATATTACAATTCACTATGAATTTTATGTTTTATTGATATTGGTATTGATAATGATGTCAAAGTGCTGAAATGTATGTCGAATGAAATTCGTGAAAAAAAAAGAAGTTAAATGAAAGTTTCCATTTGAGATTACGTCATGTCCCCCTTTCAGATTTCCCTAAACTAAAATTTAGGCAAAGCTGTTGATCTTCAGGACAATCATAGAAAAACAAATTGAGAGAAGTGAACGTTGAGATTGAGACTGAGATTGTTTAGCTGTAGTGTTCGAGACAGCCATAGAAAAGCATATTGCTTGAATGGTGCACAGTCAGTTCTATGGTTGAGGTGTGATTCCTTCATAGCCTTAGTGGATATTTATCACTCTTTTTGTGGAGTATTTATTTTCCCAGAGCACGCAAAGGGAATTAACAATCGCACGCAAAGTTTGCCTTGTGAACTGAAAGCAGTAGTATGAATTGTAAGTGACGAACCAATGTTCATGGTAGCCTTTGCTCATTGCATTGCGGAAGGATACTAGTGATGGACAAAATTTCCCTTTCGATTATTTTAAGCCATTTACTAACTACGTAAGTGTAAGATATTACAAACATGTCAAGATAAAGCGATATTACAAAGCTAACTTGGTGTTCAAGAAATTAAATTCTGAAGGAAATAAATGGGGCAAGGATGTTACTAGTAAATTCTATAGAACAAAAAGAGGGAAAAGGATCTAAAAATGAGATAGCCACTGGCAAGTTTCATATCTTAACACTGAAGGAAAGAGGGGAAAAAATCAACCAATAATATGACATGGGGAAAAAGTGTGATCATCTTCTGAAGAAAAAGAAACATTTTTGTTTTCGGAGGGCACTAGCAGCACAATAGAGAATGACACATAAGCTGAAGTGAGGGTGGCCTACAGGATGCAGATGTGATAACTGAAGTTTAAGTGACTAAGCAAAAGAGGCAGTGGCAGAAATGTAATAAGCAACAGATAGGAAGGCATGAACAAAACACAAAATCCCACCAATGGACAGAAAGTGATGATGCGACAACCCACACGACCCGTCTCGCTTGTTGTTTGACATCGTCCCTATCACCAGCATCGACAATCCAACGGCTAAGACCACCCTGTTCCATTCACAACGCCAAATCACGGCTTAGTCATCCCCCACCAGACCAAACTTTTATCAAGCACAATCTGCAGTTTTTTTAATCAATAATTTTACAGCAGCAGTTTGATCTGTGACTTCGTGGACTAACGCTGTAAGCATGTACTCGTCACCTTATTGTTGAAGATGACAACATATTTTATATTCTATTATTACTCGTTATTTTAGCATAAAGAATATACGAGAGCTTGAGAGAGAGATCATACCAGGTTAAAATGAGGGAAGCTACAGAGAGCTGCCTATTTGGGGGAGCCTTTTGAAGCTCACCTTGAGAACAGACACAGTTACAGCCATTAATCAAATTGACTATCACATGAGCTAACCCCAAAAGCAGTGCTGCACCCAAACCCAGCATGAAAGCTTGGTGACTTGGGTTCCTACATTCAAATATCCACAATCTCACGTGCTTTACCTGTTTGTTTAAAAGACAAATAAACGTCTCGCTGCTTAATTCTGAAACTAATTGAGCCAAGACAATAGCAAGCTATAACCATAAATCTATATATGCGTGCCTTATTTTGTGCAATCTCAGCCTCAATACCAAGAATTCCAGCTGCAATATCCAAGACCACGATCAAGACACAGAAAAATTCCTCCTGGACGAATCATTTATGATGAAAGGGGGAAAAAAGCGTTTTTGGGTTGCTTGCTGGTGAGTTTGAAGATGAGAGTGAGAAAACAGATAGAGGAGGGGCTATATATAAAGAATATAGAATGGAAGTGGCAGGAGATGGGTTAGATGGAGGAAAAGTTTCTTTTGTCATCAGTCTAAACTTCAATTCGCTTTTGTGTCCTTCTTCTGCTTTTTTATGTGGAGTTGGAATTTTTTGATAGGGAGCAAGGAAAGCAGGGTATAAACCAGCTCATACGATAGCATGACCATGGCGTATAGAATGGTAATTGATTTATTCATTCCTTGACTTTCAAGGTGAACTGCTAAAAATCTTTTCTGCAAACATGCTATATCCAACTTTTCTTATAAAACGTACTGAGAAACGAAACTGCATTTTTGTGAAAAAAAAGTTTCAAACCTATTTATTAATCACAAGAATGTTATGCACTGGATATACACGATGACGCAGAGTGATGAAGTATAAGTTTTCTATGCTGGCATGCAATATAATAATGATAAATAAATATTGAGGAAGGAATATGTACCCTCGGGTTTGTACTCTGAAATAAAGTTGAAAAAGGGAAAGCAGAATATGTATAATAAACGTGGAATCGCGTAACATGTAAATGTCACCAAGCTACCATGATTCTTAATCCCATACAACTTAAAATGAGATGGCCAACTTTATTTTCCCTTACGAACTGGTTTATGGATAAAATGATACCTGTAACTTCAATAAATCACGTGTCCCTCCTATTGATTGGTTTCTTTGCAACGTGACCGTTGCTTAACAGATTGTTTCCTTTTTTTTTTTTTTTGTTCTTTTGTGGAGGAGTATTTAAATAGATTGAGCTTATAAAATGTAATGAGTGATTAAATCAAATATATAGAAAATAATTTGTAAATGTAAAATCAAACATAATGCTCATTTATAACAATTTAACTTTTTTTTTAATCTCTCCTTTACATGCAATCTACAATGGGGCAGGTGGACCAAGACATCAAGAAGGAAGGCAAGAATAATTAGAGTTCTCTGCTACAAGCTAAATAAATGCTGACAGATATGAAAGTGTCGAAGCTCGACGTATGTCCTCTAGATCAACAACGTTCATGTGGAAAGATGCTCAAAATTGGAAGAGTCACAAAGGTGAAATCGAGCACCAATGTCTTCAAAGCGGGGCAACAGATCCTCTATTAAAGCCTGATTATTCCCCTTTGATTAAAAATAATAATAATCCTAATATTTCCCTCACAAGCTGCAGCATAGAGAACTCAGAATCTTCACAGTTCACCCAATTCAGAACCCATCCTGCCAGCTTCTTGTGTACTATATCTGAAGAACAGAAGCCACACTATTACTCATTCATTATATTAAAAAACTTGGACTCAGAATATCATTCTTCTCTTGCTTATAGGGTAGCAACAAAACTTGCCAATAAAGACGTCGCTCGTACCACACGAAACACAGCGACTAAAGGTAACCGGTGACAAGGAATATGTTGAAGTTACGAGACCTTACTGCACTTATCACTTATCAGATCAGATTTCCACTTTCCAGACAACATCTTTTCTTGTTCGATCGATTCCCAGGGATTGTATTCGAGGAAAATCAAACGCTCCAACTGTTTGAGCTAGAATGGATTGACTTGCAATGAATAGACAGCATGATAAAGTAGAACCTCAATTGTAAATCCCTTTTTTTTGCTTGCTCTGCTTTCAATATGTTAAATAAGAGCAACAGAATGCTGAAAACTTTACATGAGAATAAGAGCGAAAGTAAAAGGAATGAAGATTTGAATTAACAATTAATTAGAGACTCCCCGCCTTAAAAAAGAGGCAGGCAGCTCTGAAGATGGGAACTTTTATTCGTCGACCCACATGGCCTGGAATATGGCAGCTCTGTGTTTCAACCATTGAACCATTTCTCTGTCCATTGGAGACTTGTATATTACGCCATTTAACATTCGGCTGCCAAAATTTTTTTGGACAACTTTCGAATAATGTCCATATCAGCTGGTTTGGGCCAAGATGTCTGGGGCTGCTTCTAAATATCAAGCAGTAATACTAGACATTTTAGACGAGAATTCAACAATATGTGCAAGATGATCATCACCGTGCCTAGAATGGGAACTTTCTAGATTTTCCAGCATCTTCTATAGAGATGAAAGACATTAGCAAAAGGCTGCTTGATACGAAAGACATGAAGAAAATTTAGGCAATATTGGGGGTTTGTTCCTGCATTTTGCTTAAACCAGAACAAGGTTTGTGGCATTAAAATGCCACCCCAAAACACACTTACGCGAGAGTTTTTAACGGAGAGAAGAGAAGGGGGAGGGAGAGAGGAATCCTCCAATAATTTGGGGGAGGGTTGAGAGGGGACCCTCCCCTCCAACCAAACAAAGAGTTAGAATCATGGATGACATGCTTTACTGGATAAAAGGATTTGAGGAAAACACTGTATCCTTCACAGTCTGCCAAATTATTATACATCTGTTGAAGCCATCTAGTTGACAGAAAATACTTTATAAGAAGCCAGAAATTGACTTGTTACTCAGCAGAATAAACTCATATTCACAGTATCCATCACCTTATTCCTAGGTTTATACTCCCACCCTCCATCACTTTTACACAAAATTAGACTGACAATTATATTTTTTTAAAAAAATATAAACTTTTAAAAAATATTCTTCATTTAATATTTCATTTATGAAAAAAATATTAAAGAGAAAGAATATAATGAAAAAGATAATATTAAAAAAATACTATTAATAAAACTTTATTTTTATTAAAATGTATTATATTTTAAAATGCTAAATCTCTTTTAAAAGTATTTTATAATTTAAAACAGAGATAGAATATAGTTACATTAGGTGGGGGGGGGAATTTCATTATAATAACACGCCAAAATTATGCAAGTAATTAAATTAGAAAAGAAAGTTCTGATAATACTCGACTAGACACAAAACAAAAAAAAAAAAATACAGACATTTATTGATTCAATGCAAAAAAAAAAATTGTGGATTGAATTATACGAAGGTTTTGGCATATTTGTGAACACAGCATATAAATAATTGTGTAAATGATCAGCTCAGACACAATCAAAAGTTTAATGTTGATTGGGGTACTTGGAATCCAATGTTTTGGTGTATATATAATATTTCTTATTATATTTACTCAATATATTTATAATATTCACATCATTTTTATTACTTGTAATTTAGTATTTGTAAAATCTCCCTCACTTTTACCCAATGAACTCCAAATCTCAAACAATTAAAAGATTGTCTTTGACTAAGAATAACAATTTGTTAAATTTCACAAATGGGATCCTAAGTTTTCAATAATTTAAAAATATCTTGAAAGATCTTTACAATTGAATATTAGGGTTTGATAATTATGTAGAAGCATGATATCATTAAAAGAATTACTGCATTTGTGTAAAACAATGAATTTACGCAAAAACAAAAGCATGTGCCATGGCTTGTTGTAGATGCACCACAGCTCAGGCACAATGCACTGTGACGCATTACAAGCTTCATGAAAGCAAAATTTTGTTGTTATTTGATAGTACTTGGGGCAATTTTAGAAGTATCTCATTTCTCTGCCATCATTCGATTGACGTGATTTAGGTATTTATAGCTATTGGCTTTAGTTTTGAAATGTACTCACTCTACTAAACACAATTAATAAAAGAAACTCATGGTAATTAGAGGATTAGCTCAAAAAGTAATTACCAAGATTTAACCCAAAAGTAAGGGATCCCAAGTTTTCTAAGTAAAAACAAGTTAAAATCAATCAAAATCTTTCATATCAAAGTAAAAATAAGTTTAAGAAGCATGAGATACTTTAAAAGAGTGAAAGAAGTCGAAAACAGTTGAAAAAAAAACATGTGCTGTGATTCAGAGCCATACACCACGGCTCATGCATGCCGCGCCGAGGCGTGTTGCTCTCTGTGCCACGCGCTGTGGCTCAAGCACTATGCGTCGCGGCGTGTTGCATGAAATTTCTGCTGATTCTGCTATCATTTGACAGTAGAATTGGAAAAATTTTTGTGTCGCCCCGATTCTCCGTATAACGTTCGAATTACGTGATCTAAGTGTTTACTGAAAGCTTTTTACATGAACTAGCTAATGACACATGTTTCACTTTCAAAACAATTCACACTAGGAAGTTGGAACATCCAAACACATTTTAATCACTTTTCAACACTTTAACACAAAAATGGGTATCCAGAACTCTCAACAAGTGCCAAAAACTTTTCCTAACACTTGGACCATATTCAATGGACCTAAGACTACTAGTACAACATGTCACAAGTATCAAAACATCAGTATAACTAGAATTTATTCCTCAACCCCAATTTACAAAAAAATAAAAGGGGAGATAATTTACCATTGCATTTAACTCAAATCATTCAAAACATGTTCAAAACTTCATTTCTACACTTACACTAGTATGTTGGCTCTATAAACATATATATATATATATATATATCTACATGCACAAAGGCTAATGGCCCAAAATACAATTTTAACATTTTCAACAACCAAAATTCATATACCATTACACAATTAAAGTTAAATTAGAGGCATACAGTAGGAATATGCTAATTTCCTGCCTATTTAGTCCTTTACCTCTCAACACTAGAGCTATAGCCTGAAAAGTATTAAATAAGAGGGGTGGGTCTAGCCACTCAATAATCAAGGTTAAACCTACCCTATACAGTTATATATCAATTATAAAACAAATACATGCACAAGGAGATTAAATATGTAAAAATAATCCACATATATCATAATTTATCATTTCTAACTTCTTTAACTCTCACAACTAGGTGCATTGTCACCATATTCTTAGATATGTGACATGGCCCATACTCATGCGGCTTGCCACCACTTAATGCGTGTGACATGTCACCAATTGTGAGGTGTGACCTGGCCAAAGATTACAGGACTCACTCTTAGACCACGGCTTCCCCTATTCTCGAATCCCTGAAGTGTCTCATACCCTA